AGAACAAAAGTTACCTCTACATGTAACTGTTACTATTAATTTTTAACATAATCTTTACGCGACTTAACCCGAAGAAAAAAGCAACAAAAGTCGATGAGTAAAAACTACATGTGCATGCAAGCGAAGGTCAATCATACTGAAGCTTTTTAATGAACTTTGAACAATACGCGCGCGTTATTTAAAACAGAAACTGCAGGGGATATTTTAAGGTCGGTCCAGATAAGATACACTGAGTACAACGAACAATTCATTCAAGACTAGTCGGGTGCCGGACAAAATGTGTTCCAATTTACCTTTATCGCAAAAGTCATTACGCATTGAAAATGGATTATAATATTTGGCGTAATCCAGATAACTTCGAACAATGGAAAACAGATCACAGCGTTGATTTTTTTTTTCAAATGTTCTGGACTCTTTCACCCTAAGTTTCGAACTCGATGACATAGTAATTCTCCTCAAGACTGCTATACAATTCTCTACAAGTAAGTTCGAAGAATTCGTAGTAAATCAGACTTCCCATTNGTGAGCTTTGAAAATAAATCTCACTGAAGAACAAAAGTTACCTCTACATGTAACTGTTACTATTAATTTTCAACATAATCTTTACGCGACTTAACCCAAAGAAAAAAGCAACAAAAGTCGATGAGTAAAAACCACATGTGCATGCAAGCGAAGGTCAATCCTACTGAAGCTTTTTAATGAACTTTGAACAATACGCGCGCGTTATTTACAAAAGAAACTGCAGGGGATATTTTAAGGTCGGTCCAGATAAGATACACTGAGTACAACGAACAATTCATGAAGACCAGTCGGGTGCCGGGCAAAATGTGTTCCAATTTACCTTTATCGCAAAAGTCATTACGCATTGAAAATGGATTCTAATATTTGGCGTAATCGAGATAACTTCGAACAATGGAAAACAGATCACAGCATTGATGTTCTGGACTCTTTCACCCTAAGTTTCGAACTTGATGACATAGTAATTCTCCTCAAGACTGCTATACGATTCTCTACAAGTAAGTTCGAAGAATTCGTAGTAAATCAGACTTCCCATTGCTATAGATGTAGGGGTAGTCACGACCGGTGTTTGGATAGTCACGCAACGATGTTTGGAAACAGGCGTT